GTTTCTAATTGTTCGTTTCTTTCTAAATTTCTTGAAAAAGTTGTCAGAAGTCAGATGCTTGGACATCTTTCTAATTGTTCTTTTCTTTCTAAACTTCTTTATTTTGATCATCCATGAAGTCTTGTCATCTCTATACGACCAACTTCTAGAATGCCACTCAAACAAATGATTGATAAGTATCAATCTGCCTACATTGTACTGTACATTAACTCTTTCAACACCAGTCAACCAGAGGCATTTACTGCCATGACACCGAGTTCCCAGAGACTCTGAGGTCATAGATGAAGCCTATGTTTATGAAGGAAATTATAAGCTTGCAAAACGTTATTGCTACTACATCCCATACACCATTTAAAAGATCTAATCCTACTGTTGATAAATATGAAGTTTATTTTTATCATATTATTCAAATAATACAACTACAACTTAAATAAAATTATTTTGAATGAAAATGCAAGCTTACATTTATAACGTCCAGATAAACCACGAAAGAAGCAAAAACTATGGCGATTTTTTTCCATTTGTGACATTTGTCATAACGTGCCCGTGCCTTTTTCTTTTATATTTTCACTTTTACGTAATCAGAAAATTATTATAAAAAGATTTCTTAAATAATATGTATGGTCGCCTATTTCCCGATATCTGTGGCTTTCCGCCGGTAACATGACATAACAACGGAACATACCTCCGTTTTGAAGCTTCATTATGAATAACATGGGAGGCGAATCATTTGATGCCGGTATCGCTCGTTCGAAAGCTCTGAACATCAACAACATCACTGAACCCTTGCCGAGTATTTTCACAGTTGTAAGAAGCGATTTTATTGGATAAAAATTGGTTTCTAATGACGCTTTTCGCTACAGTCTGCTATAAGGATCGTGATTGGTCAAAATCAGACCGCGTGACCTAAGGCAGCCAATCATATTACGGCAATGGATACCGCCCTCAAACGAAAACTTTCGATTTAGACGAAAGTTTTGGGTAAAATAATACTATTCTGAACATATTAAGCAAAAAATCGCTACATATACGTAAATTATGGGACTTATTGGACGTATCGTGCTAGGTTATGACCTGTGACAAAAATGCTTCATGCATATATTTTCGCATTAAACATCGTGTCCGAGCGTGAAGATTGAGGCGGCGAGAGCCGAGATGTCACTTGTCAGTGATTTGACTTGCATTACATGATCGCACAAAAAGATGGAAAAAGTAATTTTATATGTACGTTTGACAACTTTTATGAATGCTGTTGTTGATTTTATTCATTAGTTTATTCTATTTATTTAATCATTTCCTCGAAACATTGTTACTTTGCTCTTTGACAATGTTATTGTGGACCCACTCCCGAAGCATGTGTCCGAGAATCGTTGTTTTCAATTATATTGCGAAAAATAGTTTATAATTTTAATTCTGCCGATAATATATGATCAATTGAAATTTAATAAGTGTTTCCAGACATTGTGAAATGTGATGGATTTAATATATGAATCATAAGTCAGGTAAGTTCCTAAAATTATGTCTCATTTTGACGTGACTACTGCCTGGCCGCTTAAGCGGCCTCCGGTGTCTGGGGACTCATAACGTTGTGGCCGCTAAGCCGCCCTGGTGTTGAAAGGGTTAAGGCTGCAACGATTCACTCGCATATTCGGTGAATCGAACCGTAGCCCTTCGTGAATTCAATTCGTTATTCGTGGTCACCAGAACTGAACATTACCGAATATTTACGATTTTTTTTTAAGGGAGCATGTTTTACTTGAACCCTTGTGTACTTTTGGAAAGTGAGATATGCAAGAATGCATTATGTACTAGCATTGCAGTAGCGCAAGTCATGTTAGTTTGCCAAGGCCGCACATGGTACTGTCATCTATAACTATTACATACCAAATTTTAGTGTCATGAGATCACTGGTTATTGCGGTGACAAATTAACATTGTCAACATGGGCGTTCCATATTGTACACCAATCACTTAACTACAATGTTGTATTCGTGAATAATTATTCATATTCGTTACCCAATATTCAGGATACGTATCATATTCGCCACATAGTGTATTCGTTGCAGCCCTACTGCACATAGCACTGAAGCAGCTCTCAATGGTGTTCTGGACAACATCAAGATGTCCGTAGATGACGGTAATATTGCCCTGCTCCTGCTTTTAGACCTCTCTGCTACCTTGGATACTATCGACCATGCAACACTGTTATCAGGGCTACAGATTGAATACAAACAGCACAGTCCTGAGATGGTTTTCATGATATCTAGAAGATAGTACACAATCTGTTCAAATTAGCAGAACGTTCAGACACCCATGTTCTTGAATGTGAGTGCCACAAGGCTCAGTTTTAGGACCAATACCATACACTATGCACACCAAACATCTGGGACAACTCAGCTCAGATCATCTCATTGGACGGCATTTTTATTAGGGCTGACTATTGAGGGGGAAGCCACTACTGAGACAGTCTATTGTGACCAACTATTGCAATAGTTTTTTTTCTCCTTGAATTGTCTCATATACAGTTGAAGTAGTTTCAGTCTCTTTTGATAACTGAAACAAACCTTGAAACCCACATCAAGTAAACAGACAAAACATAAACTCAGTGAAGCAAGATGCCTGATTGGCATTTTGGAAGATACTATTTATATAACACAAATATTGTTAGATAATTCAGTTTTGAAATCTCTGAGAACAGATACCAGTGTTTTAGTGTCCAACAAACTGCCTTGCGTAGTCATATATCTCTCTCTTCTCGCTATCTTAACATTAGAAATTTATTTTTCGAGTAGGGAAATTTTTTAAATATTTTTTTTCTTATTCTTGAAAAAACACGACCGGCGGATCCGTAAAATGAGACAAAATTGGTCTGGCCTTAACATTGAATAAAAATACATAACCATCCAAATTCATTTGGATTGAGCATGAAAACTGAAAGTATCTAGGAACTGCACATCTGATAGAGTAACTTAAGTAAGTCCTAACAACACAGCAGTGAGATATCACAATAATAAAGTGTCCCGATCAAGGAATATTTTGAAAAGTTACAGATGCCAAAACTTAACCATGTTTCAACATATATTGTCAAACTATGATTATGGATAAAGCAAAGAAAAATTTGAATACTTCAAAAAGTGTCTGAATAAACATAGTAACTTCACAACCTAACTGACTGACTGAGTTTGGGTTTACGCCGCTTTTAGCAATATTCCAGCAACATCACAGCGGGGGACACCAGAAATGGGCTTCAAACATTGTACCCATGTGGGGATTCGAACCCGGGTCTTTGGCGTGACGAGCCAACGCTTTAACCACTAGGCTACCCCACCGCCCCCATAACCATTAACAATAAAGTGAATGAATCTGGTCCTTCTCGTATTTTGTGCTGCGCATTTGTCAACGGAAGTCAATTACTAAACTATCAATAGTCACACATACTATCGATGCATCGATAGTTTTTCATTTCTACCATCGATTAATTGCTATCGGAGACTCAACAATTGCAATCCATTGATAGTTCGATGCCCGATACAGCTCTAATTTTTATGCTGATGACACCCAATTGATGGACAGCTTTTAAACCAAGTACAGACAGTCTCTCCTTTCTCTCCCTCTGTTAGAAATCTTGGTGTTTATTTGGATTCAAATCTAACTATGAAAAGTCATACCAACCATTTATTCAAAATGTCGCTTCCATATGTGAAACATTGGTTCCATCCATAACAGTTTAACTATGGAAGCAACGACCACCTCGTTCACCACCTTGGCCGTGTCTGCCATCACATCAACTGGTCCAAGAAAGTGCTGTTGTTTCTCTATCTGTCCATTGTTAACTGTTCATCTGTCCATTGTTGTCTATAATTATATATAGAGAGGATACTAAACGACATTCCGTGTAATACCAATTGTATTAAAAGAGTTAATGATTTAGTATCAAACGGACAAAAGCGAGTTTGATACTAAATCTTTCACAAGTTTAATAAAAATGGTATTTCACGGCATCGAGTTTAGTATTCTGTTTATTACTCTCCAACATTATCTGATAGAAACTGCCTACATACAGTGTGATGACTCTCAGCTTTCCCTGAGTCAAGCACGACCTAATACCACTGTGACAGAGGCATTAGCATTGTGACGTCATAACTGTAACCATTATGACGTCATGTGTCTAGCGGTATTACACTATAGTGTAATATTGCCGTGAAAATATTACACTGCAGTATCTTCCACAGGCGAATAATAAATGTTCATACCAGTACTGTCACCAGTTCGGTATTCTGACTGCCTGTCTAGGGGGAACACGAGCAGGATAATGCCGCTATGGGTTGAGTTGAGTTGAGTTGGGCTTTACGTCACATCGGCATTTTTCCAGCCGTATAGTGACGAGAACAAGTTTGCATTAGTAAACATTGTAAGTACATACTCGGAATGAGTTTTGTTTCAAGGACATATATTGATTACATTGTCATTTAAAAGCAGAGAAAGTCATAGCATCAAATTTAAAGGCAGGCAATTTGTTAGTCACATTTCATAGTTACAATTTATGGTGGTTACATTTCGCAGTTACAATTTATGATACAGATCAACTTCCCTCAGGTAGTTCACTATGAGATGAGCGCTCACGCGGGAGAACAGATCTTTTAGGTTTGTTGCATCATAATGTGAGTCCCTTGCAGACGATAAGTCCACGCATTCAAGCAGAATATGCTTGATGGTGAAAACCTCATCGCAAGAGACACACATGGGGGGTCCATCCCCGTCCGTTTTCAGCAGAGGGAAACGCCCTTTGGATGAGAAGGAACTCTGCTGACCTCAGTTATGTCTATTTGTTTCTCATGTATTGTAAAGTGGTTTGGACTCAATCTATCACTTGACATCAAGACACTCACTCACTCACTCACTCACTCACTCACTCACTCACTCACTCACTCACTCACTCACTCACTCACTCACTCACTCACTCACTCACTCACTCACTCACTCTCTCGACTCTGTCTACAGGCCCTGGAGACGAAGGAGTTAGATGCCGTCCAACCGCTGGTCAAACCTGATGCGGAGAAGTACTTCCAGGAGAGGCCGGGCAGTGCCGACTTGATCCCCAAACTCCCGGAGCTAGCCGACAGTAAGGAATCTACCTCATGATCTTAGTTTTATTGGGTCCCTATATTCCAGACCTGTGTCAACAGTACACAGACCACCTCATGATCTTAGTTTTGTTTGGGTCCCTATATTCCAGACCCTTGTCAACAGTACACAGACCACCTCATGATCTTAGTTTTATTGGGTCCCTATATTCCAGACCCATGTCAACAGTACACACACCACCTCATGATCTTAGTTTTGTTTGGGTCCCTATATTCCAGACCCTTGTCAACAGTACACAGACCACGTCATAATCTACATTTTAGTGGGTCAGTTTATTCTAAAACATCACAAAAAGACCTCAAGGACCCTTGTCAACAGTAAACAAACTATCTCATAATCTAAGTTTTGGTAGGTCCTGGTCACCAAGACCTTATGAAAGCACATGATGGACCATAGTCAACAGTTTTAGTTGTATAGTCAGTACCTTAGAAGACCTCAAGGACACCTGTCATTTAGTCTCACAGTCCCAGAATGACATTATTTCCCCTACTGCCTAGCCCTCCCTACAATGTAGTCTGTCTCACAGGCGCTGAACCCCATTATTTCCCCTACTGCCTAGCCCTCCCTACAATGTAGTCTGTCTCACAGTCCCTGAACCCCATTATTTTCCCTACTGCCTAGCCCTCCCTGCAATGTAGTCTGTCTCACAGTCCCTGAACCACATTATTTTCCCTACTGCCTAGCCCTCCCTGCAATGTAGTCTGTCTCACAGTCCCTGAACCACATTATTTTCCCTACTGCCTAGCCCTCCCTGCAATGTAGTCTGTCTCACAGTCCCTGAACCACATTATTTTCCCTACTAGCTCCTCCCTGCAATGTAGTCTGTCTCCTCCCTGCATTGTAGTCTGTCTCACAGTCCCTGAACCACATTATTTTCCCTACTGCCTAGCCCTCCCTACAATGTAGTCTGTCTCACAGGCGCTGAACCCCATTATTTCCCCTACTGCCTAGCCCTCCCTACAATGTAGTCTGTCTCACAGTCCCTGAACCCCATTATTTTCCCCCTACTGCCTAGCCTCCTCCCTACAATGTAGTCTGTCTCACAGTCCCTGAACCACATTATTTTTTCCCTACTGCCTAGCCTCCTCCTGCAATGTAGTCTGTCTCACAGTCCCTGAACCACATTATTTTCCCTACTGCCTAGCCCTCCCTGCCAGGTAGTCTGTCTCACAGTCCCTGAACCACATTATTTCCCTACTACCTAGCCCTCCCTGCAATGTAGTCTGTCTCACAGTCCCTGAACCACATTATTTTCCCTACTGCCTAGCCCTCCCTGCATTGTAGTCTGTCTCACAGTCCCTGAACCACATTATTTTCCCTACTGCCTAGCCCTCCCTGCAATGTAGTCTGTCTCACAGTCCCTGAACCACATTATTTTCCCCTACTGCCTAGCCCTCCCTGCAATGTAGTCTGTCTCACAGTCCCTGAACCACATTATTTTCCCTACTGCCTAGCCCTCCCTGCAATGTAGTCTGTCTCACAGTCCCTGAACCACATTATGTTTGATACTGCCTTGCCTTCCCTGCAATGTAGTCTGTCTCACAGTCCCTGAACCACCTTATTTTCCCTACTGCCTAGCCCGCCCTGCAATGTAGTGTGTCTCACAGTCCCTGAACCACATTATTTTCCCTACAGCCTGGCCCTCCCTGCAATGTAGTCTGTCTCACAGTCCCTGAACCACATTATTTTCCCTACTGCCTAGCCCCCCCTGCAATGTAGTCTGTCTCACAGTCCCTGAACCACATTATTTTCCCTACAGCCTGGCCCTCCCTGCAATGTTGAGTTGAGTTGAGTTGGGCTTTACGTCACATCGGCATTATTCCAGCCATATAGTGACGAGAACAAGTCTGCATTAATATACATTGTAAGTACAAAGTGGTTTCGTTTCAAAGACATACATTCATTACGTTGTCATTTTAGAACAGAGAATATCATAGCACTAGATTGAAAAGCAGGTACATTCGTTATTGACATTACACAGTTACATTTTATGATATAGATCGACTTCCCTCAGGTAGTTTAGTATCAGATGAGCGCTCACGCTGGAGAACAGATCTTTCAGATTGGTTGCGTGATAATGCGAGTCCCTTGCAGATGTAAAATCCACACAGTCAAGCAGAATATGCTTGATGGTGAGAGCCTCATCGCAAGAGAGACATATGGGGGGTCCATCCCCATCTGTTTTTAGCAGATAGTCATGTGTAAACCGACTGTGGCCAATACGACATCGTCGTAAAATTACTTCATCACGTCTTGACTGGCAACCCAAGTAGGTATAACCGATTGTTGGCTTCAATTCATGGAATTTGTTTCTTCCTACTTGAGTGTCCCACCTTTTTTGCATCAAGTCCCGAGTATAGCTTTTGATAGTGGGTTTGAAATCACTGTACGGGATTAGCAGTGGAGATAGGGGCTTTTCAAGAGCTGCTTTTGCTGCAGCATCGGCCTTAGTGTTACTGCAATGTAGTCTGTCTCACAGTCCCTGAACCACACTATTTCCCCTACTGCCTAGCCCTCCCTGCAATGTAGTCTGTCTCACAGTCCCTGAACCACATTATTTTCCCTACTACGTAGCCCTCCCTACAATGTAGTCTGTCTCACAGTCCCTGAACCACATTATTTTCCCTACTGCCTAGCCCTCCCTACAATATAGTCTGTCTCACAGTCCCTGAACCACATTATTTTCCCTACAGCCTAGCCCTCCCTACAATGTAGTCTGTCTCACAGTCCCTGAACCACATTATTTTCCCCAGCCTACAGCTGTCTCCCTCCCTACAATGTAGTCTGTCTCACAGTCCCTGAACCACATTATTTTCCCTACAGCCTAGCCCTCCCTACAATGTAGTCTGTCTCACAGTCCCTGAACCACATTATGTTCCCTACAGCCTAGCCCTCCCTGTAATGTAGTCTGTCTCACAGTCCCTGAACCACATTATTTTCCCTACTGCCCTCCCTGTAATGTAGTCTGTCTCACAGTCCCTGAACCACATTATTTCCCCTACAGCCTAGCCCTCCCTGCATTGTAGTCTGTCTCACAGTCCCTGAACCACATTATGTTCCCTACTGCCTAGCTCCTCCCTGCAATGTAATCTGTCTCACAGTCCCTGAACCACATTATGTTCCCTACTGCCTAGCCCTCCTGCATGTAATCTGTCTCACAGTCCCTGAACCACATTATGTTCCCCCTACTGCCTAGCTCCTCCCTGCAATGTAATCTGTCTCACAGTCCCTGAACCACATTATGTTCCCTACTGCCTAGCCCTCCCTGCATTGTAATCTGTCTCACAGTCCCTGAACCACATTATGTTCCCTACTGCCTAGCCCTCCCTGCAATGTAATCTGTCTCACAGTCCCTGAACCACATTATGTTCCCTACTGCCTAGCTCCTCCCTGCAATGTAATCTGTCTCACAGTCCCTGAACCACATTATGTTCCCTACTGCCTAGCCCTCCCTGCAATGTAATCTGTCTCACAGTCCCTGAACCACATTATGTCCCCTACTGCCTAGCCCTCCCTGCATTGTAATCTGTCTCACAGTCCCTGAACCACATTATGTTCCCTACTGCCTAGCCCTCCCTGCAATGTAATCTGTCTCACAGTCCCTGAACCACATTATGTTCCCTACTGCCTAGCCCTCCCTGCAATGTAATCTGTCTCACAGTCCCTGAACCACATTATGTTCCCTACTGCCTAGCCCTCCCTGCAATGTAATCTGTCTCACAGTCCCTGAACCACATTATGTTCCCTACTGCCTAGCCCTCCCTGCAATGTAATCTGTCTCACAGTCCCTGAACCACATTATGTTCCCTACTGCCTAGCCCTCCCTGCAATGTAATCTGTCTCACAGTCCCTGAACCACATTATGTTCCCTACTGCCTAGCCCTCCTGCAATGTAATCTGTCTCACAGTCCCTGAACCACATTATGTTCCCTACTGCCTAGCCCTCCCTGCAATGTAATCTGTCTCACAGTCCCTGAACCACATTATGTTCCCTACTGCCTAGCCCTCCCTGCAATGTAATCTGTCTCACAGTCCCTGAACCACATTATGTTCCCTACAGCCTAGCCCTCCCTGCATTGTAGTCTGTCTCACAGTCCCTGAACCACATTATGTCCCCTACTGCCAAGCCCTCCCTGCAATCTAGTCTGTCTCACAGTCCCTGACCCATAATGTTCCCTACAGCCTAGCTCTCCCTGTAATGCTAAAGCCCTGAATGAAGCCTATATTTGCTCAGGTTCTCCCAACTCAATGGTATTATTTATTACTATCAAAATAGTATTTATTTAGAAACTAAGCGTTAGTGTAGTGTAGATTCGAATTCTGACCACGCTGGTTTGGTGACACGTCCTTCATGTCAGGCTGCTAATGGACCTGTCTGGGATGTCCTCCCGTGAGTGCGGGCGCTGCGTGATCGGCGTGTGTAATCCCGAGTGTCTCCAGACCCGATTAGCTGTCTCCACATTTATGAGGGACTCATGGTTACATCTTCATTTGAGCAAATTTGATTCCTGATGTGATGAGATTTGTGTTAAATTTAATCAATGAAGATTTTGTCTGGGTTGAAGTCTTTAGCCCTGTGTACTTGGAGCAGTGTCTGACATACTGACCTAACAAGCCATGCAGCAGGCCACCCTTCTAGCGATCCACCCCTCTGGACATTCACCCACCCAACTCACTAGCCATCCACCAACACACACACCAACACACCAACACACACACACACACACTCTCTCTCTCTCTCTCTCTCTCTCTCTCTCTCTCTCTCTCTCTCTCTCTCTCTCTCTCTCTCTCTCTCTCTCTCTCTCTCACACACACAGAGAGACACACACACCACACCCATCTGGTCATTTACCCACCCCACTAGCAAGCCACCCACCCCTCTGGCCATTCATTTAACGATGCACCTATCCCAACTAGTGATGCCCCCACCCTTCCCACTATCCATCCACCCCTCTGGTCATTCACCTACCCACCCCACTATCCACCCATCCACCCCTCTAGCCATTCACCAACCCCTTTTGTGATGCACCCACCCCACTATCCATCCATCCACCCCTCTGGTCATTCATCCACCCTCCACTATCCATCCATCCACCCCTCTGGTCATTCACCCACCACCCCACTATCCATCCATCCACCCCTCTGGTCATTCATCCACCACCCCACTATCCATCCATCCACCCCTCTGGTCATTTATCCACCACCCCACTATCCATCCATCCACCCCTCTGGTCATTCATCCACCCCACTATCCATCCATCCACCCCTCTGGTCATTCATCCACTCCACTAGCCAGCCACCCACACACCCAACCCTCTGGCCATTCACCAACCCCTCTAGTGATCCACCCACCCCTCAAGCCATCCAATAACCCTTACCCCTTAAGCCATTCAGCCACCCCTCAAGCTGTCCACCTACCCACCTCTCAAGCCATCCAGCCACCCCTCCAACTATCCAGCTACCTACCAACACTCCATCCCACCCCTCTAACAACCCACACATTCCACCAGGATCTGTGATAAAGTGGATTGTGTGTCATTGTATCCAAACTGGATGGATTGTTTGTCATAACGTCAATCACTGGTTTTTCATGTCAGGAATATGAATACAGTCAGCTGTTGAAAAGGTCAAATAGTGCTAATATCTGGGGCAGTGTTCATGATAACCACTGGCATGCATGGACCAGGACCCTATAAGGTCATGCTTGTCGTAAAATGTCTAGAAATTGAATCCTTTTGCCAAAATATATGCATTTCGGTAAGGTTTAGCTCATTTTTCATTTTTCTGTATTATGATCATATCTCATACATATACAGAACCGAAACAGACCGAACCTAAGGCTTTGTACCATGGTAAGAGTGTACCGTTTCACTCCTAGCCATGACATTGCTTGAATATTGCTGAGAGTGGCGTAAAACTCACTCACTCACTCACTCACTCACTCACTCACTCACTCACTCACTCACTCACTCACTCACTCACTCACTCACTCACTCACTCACTCACTCTTGTCAGTACTCCCTTCATTAATCACTGTAGCTTCAGTTGTACAGTTCTGCATTCCCGAGCATTTGTTTTGTTCACCGTCGCACTCAGCAATATTCCAGCTGTGGGATGACATTCTGTAAATAGACCAGTGAAGGTCGGGGTTAGAATATTGATCTTCAGTAACCCATGCTTGTCGTAAGAGGCGACTAACATGATCGGGTGGTCAGGCGCGCTGTCTTGGTTGACACATGTCATCGGTTCCCAATTGCGCAGATCGATGCTCATGCTGTTGCTCACTGGATTGTCTGTCCAGACTCGATTATTTACAGACTGCAGCCATATAGCTGGCGTAACACTAAACTCACTCACAGCATGGACCAGGCATACTGATATAATTCTGCTGCCTGTGGTGTGATCTTGGGCAAACTGACAGGTGCTGGTTGTAGCACAGGCATGAACACCTGGTGTCATCAGTAATTTTCATATAACTTGGCCCTTTACATCAAATAGAATTGGTTTATGAGTCACTGAGTGAGTGATTTAAGTTTTATATCGCTTTTAACAATATTCCAGCAATATCATGGTGGGGAACACCAGAAATGGGTTTCACACATTGTACCCATGTGGGGAAGCGAACCCAGGTCTTCAACATGACAAGCGGACGCTTTTACCACTAGGCTACCCCACAGCTCCAATTTGTTTATGAGGATAGTCAAGACTGGGCTACTTTTTCCACTGTTGTTTTAAATAAAATATATAAGTACATTGCCCTAAAGCTGATCTTTGCATCTCTTTGAGAGGTCTGACGATACAGAAATGTCATGATATGACACGTATCATGACATCTTGGGACAATATGATTCGTTTTGATGCATATCATGCTATCTTTAGGTATTTCCTAGAAAATTTTGAATATTTTGATAGCAAGTAACAATGTAAATTTTTACATGACTGTCAATTTCTAGTGAACATTAACAATTATAAGGTCAACAATGTAACCTACATATATTTATTGTCACGATTATCGATACTACGATATATATTGAACATCATTGAAAACGCACCAGTCTAAAATTGTCCATATTTTCATCAAGATGGATTTCAGCATGACAATGAATATAACTAACATGAAGTCGAAGCGCATGTCCAGTTGAAAAAATTGCTTTAGAAACAAATTCCTGTCCACAGTATGACTCTTAATTCCAAACTGCATCAACATGCAGCCACGCCATGAAGAAAGCGCGAACTTTATTCTGAAATCATACTGACTGTGACATTAAATGCAGGTGTATGAAACCAATTCTCATTGCTTCACTAACGGTTGTGAAACGAGGACAGAGATGCCGAGGTTAACACCTCATGAAAGAGAACGTGCACTAGGCATGATTCAGGTTGGCACCATCAGCAGGGATATTGCTCGACAACTTGGACTTGGCCACTCCACCATCGTTAGGCTTCATAGACGACATCAGTGGACAGACAGCATCCGTGACCTTCAATGACCTTGGCAACAACGTGTTACGACGCTCCATCAGGGTCGCCATATTTATCTTGTCCGTATCAGTGATTGAACACTGCCGACTGCCAGGACTGCTGCACTAGTTCAAGGTTGACCTGGCGGTCATCAGCGCTGACTCCATGCGACGCCGTCTACACGCTACAGGGCTTCATGCCCGACTTCCTTATGTTGGACCAATTCTGACTGACAGACACCGTAATGAGTGTATACAATGGGCTAGCAGGCATTTTCAGTAAAGGTTACAACAATGGCATGGTCTGGTAATCACTGACGAGTCATGTCTTCATCTACGTAATGCTGACGGCCGATTACATGTTTGGCGTAGACCTGGTGAACGTTATGCTGATGAGTGTGTGGTTCAGACAGACCTTTGGGTGATGGGAGTGTCATGGTCTGGGGTGGAATAAATTACAATCACAGGACTGCCTTCATGTCTGTCAAGGGAGAGTTAATGCCCTTTATTACCGTGAGCAGATTCTTCAGAATCACATCATATCTGTCTTCAATCACCACCAAGATGTCCATACTTTTCAACAGGACAACGCACGGGCACACACAACAGGACTTTCCATGCAGTATCTGGCACAGCAACACATCCAGGTTATTCATTAGCCAGCACAGTCGCCAGATGTATCCCCCATGGAGCACTTGTGGGACGAAATTGGTCAAAGTCTTTCGCGGCGACAACAGATGCGAAACATCCGGGAGCCTGAGGTTGCACTACTGCAGAAGTGGAATGCCATCCTCAAGAACTCTGTTCGGACGCTTATTGACTCAATGAGGAGACGTTGAACTGCATGTGTCACAGCAAATGGCGGTCACACGCGATATTGACTTTTCGATTTGACCCCACGTGTGTTTGATCCTTTCTGATTGTGGTTTCAATGAATGAGCGTCTTTTCTGTGTTGTTTTTGTCAGTCGTCCATCTGTTATTATCCACTCAAAAAATATCAATTCCTTACACATGCTTTTAATAATCTGAACTTTTATAAGTGGTGCGTTTTCAATGATGTTCAGTATATCTTCACCGCTCACCGTGTTGTGTTGTTCCAGCACTGAAACGGCGTACGACGAGAAGTCTCTGTTTTCTCGATACATCTTGCGATTATCGATACTACGATATATCATCACGTCTCTAATCACTGTGTTGTGTTGTTCCAGCGCTGAAGACAGCGTACGACGAGAAGTCTCTGTTTCCTCGATACATCCTGGACTACGAGAAACGGTTCCATGAGATGCGCAGAAAACCTTCCCAGGTGAGCAACCATCTTCTCTCAATCATTTTCAGGTCAACAAACGTAACAAAAGTTTTAGAGCATGTTTTGTAAGTGTTCTCATTCATTAGCTTCCACAACTACCACAGACTGGTTTAATTTGTTGTGGCAGTATGGGTTAGTGAGCATGGTTTTACGCCGCTTTTAGCAATATTTCCAGCAATATCAAGGCGGGGACACCAGAAAGAGGCTTCACACAATGAATTAAGTTAATTATATTCAATTTGTTCTCATTGTGATATTCCGCCAAGAGAGCGGAAGGTCGCGGTTCGATCCCCGACCACGTCATACCAAAAGACGTTAAAATATGGTACTTGTTGGTCCCTGCCTGGCGCTCGGCATTAATGGGTGCAACAAGGACTGGTCGGCTCGGAGTCAGTATAATGTGTCTGAGTGGGGTATTCATGCTTCACTGCGGCATGGTATCTCAGTGAGCTAGCACTATAAAACCTATAAACCTATAAAACTTAAGTCTGGGCTAGTACAAGCAGCCGCACATACACATACACACGCATGCACGTCGTCATATGAGTGAAATATTCTCAAGCACGACGTTAAACCCAATTTCACCTCACCTCACCTCACCTCACCTCACCTCACCTCACCTCACCTCACCTCACCTCTCATTCTGATATGGCTGCAACATTGCTGACGTGATGTAAAATTCCAACTCAATCACTCACGAAGCACAATCCCACTTTTCGGCATGTGCAGTCATCGTTCGAAATAGCTACTGGCCCGCTAGACAAATGTTAGCAGATTGGGAATCGGGCTAGTAATTGTTACAGTTATCCCAACTGGCTAGCTGAAAGTCTTACATAGTTTGTTGTTTACTAAATGCACATGAATATGATGAAGTCAGTTGTTAAGGTGTTAATCGTCCGCAGGTATCAATTTAAGGGAGGTTAATTTACTCGCACCAGGTGCAATCTAAGATAAAAACCTAGTTGCACCAGCCAAATTCCAGTTCCAACGTAGTGTTTAAACGTCAGAGATTTCGGTGCACATAAACATAGGTAGTACCTATGAAACCATAACAACACAGAGACACAGCTGATCCCTGTTTACAAGAGCTGTCATCACCAAAACGTTTCAGTGCCATAGCTATTCAACGTTTAGAATAAATGAGCTGACATATTTATGCTTATAATGTTAGATTTATTGTTGATTTCTCAAAAGTTGACTTGCACCTGGTGCAAGTTAAGACTCATAACTAGGTTGCACTTTGTCATATTGCGTTGCACCAGTGCAAGTAAGAAAGTACTAAATCGAGCCCTGGGCCGTCTGCAAAAGTTTTTGATATTTATTATATCTTGTCACACGAAGATTGGTATATAAAAACTGTTAATAGCATTGTGCAAAGAGTTTGACCTATCAAAATTAATTCATAGACTGTGTGTAGTTACTTTAGCTCAGTTTTTTGTCTTCCAGATCAACTCGAAGATGCTGCGCACCAACTTCCAAACAATCGGCGTTGGCATGGGTCAAATGGCCAGGCAGTCACCGCGGAAGAGTAAAGGTCAAAGGCTAAAACCCCTGCAGACACGCAAGAGTTCAGTCAGTGTCAGCGTCCAGGACTAAACCTTCATCACTGTCACAGAATATCTCCAGATGTGTTAACTTGGTTTTTGAAGTCAGGGTACTGGTGTGCCTAGAATGCAGAATATCAGATACAGTCAAATCCCGATGAGTCGAATGCCGGTGTCTCGAATATTCTGCATAACTCGAAGTACCTGTCGGTCCCGACCATTCCCTGTTATAGTTGTCATCATTTGAATACCGGTTACACGAATTCGACTTAAACTCATAAATACACAACGATGACTCGAGAAGGTAATTTGGTCCCATGAGATTCAAACAACAGCAATCTTGTATACATAAGCCGAAGTCAGTCAATGAGAAGTTGATTGGTGTAGCAAACTGATCTAATTAACAAACCAGCGCGGCTCACACCTTTCCGCCATTGACGGGTGAGTTCAAAAGGCAGATTAGTGATTTTACGGAAATCACTGTCTGTGCTAATCAGACTGGAACTGATAAGGTGCCCCTATTAGTGATAGGGAAATCATTAGATTAACAAATGCTTAGGTGGAGGAATTAGGACTGGATCATCTTTTTGTCTACCCTCATAGACATACCTATGTCTCGAATACATCAATAAGTCGAATTTATTACTTGGTCCCCAGCGATTCGACTCATCGGGATTTGACTGTACCTTCTACCACACTGATAAGGACAAACTTGGCTAACAGGTTCAAAGGTTTTAGCTCTTGGTCTTGGTCTTCCCTGACATGTCATCGTAACCCAATTGTGTAGATCGACGCTCATGCTGTTGATTATTGGATTGTCTGGTCCAGATTATTTACAGACCGCTGCCACAAAGCTGTAATAATGCTGAGTCCATTGATAAACAACAAACAAACAAGATTTCTTGGTGAAACAACAGGATTTGCTTACCACACAATCACTTGAAGCAAATGCTATTGTAACTTCCGAAGTCAATTAAAACTACTTCAGTTATGGAACATATTTTGAATTAATATTTGTATGTTGAAGTCCCATTCGTGATGTTTATCAATTACTTTCATTTTTAATTTTAAGTATTGATCATATTAAGCCATATAAGTGCTAAACGAGTAGATATTTTCGAATTATTTGAGCTTCATTCCACTTCATCAGTAATAGAGCTGTGACGATATATCGTAGTATCGATAATCGTGATACTTTATCTGACGATTAAAATATCGATACATTTTTTCGTATCGTGATATGTATCGTTGACTTTAAAGTTGTTAATTTTCATTAGATATTGACGGTTATGTCAAAATTTCTTGCTATTAAAATATGATTTTTTTCAAGAAAATAACTAAAGACAGCATATCATGATATGCATCGAATCGAATCGTATCGTTCCAAGATATCGTGATACGTATCGTATCATGAAATTTCTGTATTGTCACACCTCTATTCAGTAATGTCAGACCCAATGTGTGAATACAACAGCTTGCTGTAGTTCTCTGTGCAGAGTTGTGGCCCTTAGGCCTACGAGGATGTGATGATAGAAACTCCCTTCACTCTGATTCTCAGTTTGTCAACTCAGATGTTTCATTAAACTTGTGAGGGGCAGTGGGGTAGCCTACTGGTTAAAGCGTTCACTCGTCACGCCCAAGATCGGGTCAATTCTCCACATGGGCACAATGTGTGAAGCCCATTTCTGATGTCCCGCCATGATATTGCTGGAATATTGCTAAAAGTGGCATAAAAATAAACTCACTCACTCACCCTTACTTGGAGATGTGAAATGAAATAATGTTATCACATTGTTTTTTCTCTAAGATTCTCTATATTCTGGGTTGAAAACAACCCAAAGCTTGAGCAGCGAGCAGATAGTTTGATTTGTCTGATTCAGTGACCTGTTTGATTGTTTGTCATCGTATGCATCAAAACATTAATCACTGGATTGTCTGATCCAGACTCGATCATTTGCAGGCTGACACTGGAATATTGCTGAGTGGGGTGTACAAAACAAACAGAAAAAAAAACATCTGTCCTAAGTACAAATTTGGAGTATTTTTATGAAGCCAGTTTTATATTTGTCTGTGATATTTTGGGTGACTTTTGTCTTTTGACAATGTATATATATACTGTAAATATGGATATGCATTTATATATCTACATGATATCCCTGAGCCAACAATGTGAGATGAGTGAGTTATTGTATAAAATAAACTTCAGTCAGTCAAATAATGGATTTTGTTCTGTGTTGAATTGAGGGACTGATTGCCCAGTCCCCAGAGGTCCAATTCACTGTGCGGAGTTACATCCCTTGGGCCCACTAGGATCTTATGATAGTGGGTTCAAAATCCAGTTTACCTGAGTATGAGGGCTGGAGTTAGAGTGTGGTGTCTGTGTATAAACCTGACATAACAGTGGCTTCCATGCACATACTCATATATTTCACCTCTCCCAAGGTAGTCAAAGAGTTGAGTTGAGTTGGGTTTTACGTCACATCGGCATTATTCCAGCCATATGGTGACGAGCTCAAGTCTGAAATAATACACATTTTAAGTACAAAGTCCAAATGAATTTTATTTTAAAAGCATATTATTCATTAGACTGTTATTCAAAAACAGAAAATGTCAGAGCACAAAATTCAAAAGCATGCAGTTCGTTAGTCACTTTACATAGTTACAATTTATGATACAGATCAACTTCACTCAGGCAGTCAACAATCAGATGCCCACTCACGCAGGAAAACAAGTCACATCATAATGTGAATCCCTTGCAGTCGAAGGGTCCACACAGTCGAGCACTATATAGTCAAAGCGAGTGAAAAATGGCATTACGGCTTCGTAGAGTTTGTTGTGCTTTGGAATTTTAATTGATAGAGCATCTATGTGGAGGAGATGGACTGGGGTTGTGCCAAATGACATAAAATATGCTACCGACAGTTCACTTTGTACTGTTCTGTAATGGGGGCGGCGGGGTAGCCTAGTGGTTAAAGCATTTGCTCGTCACGCCGAAGGCCCGGGTTCGATTCCCCACATGGGTACAATGTGTGAAGCTCATTTCTGGTGTCCCCCGCTGTCATATAGCTGGAATATTGCTAAATGCGGCATAAAACCAAACTCACTCATTCACTCACTCTTCTGTAATGACTGGGTGGCTCACACTCTGTATACAGAGAGACACTTACACTTACATGCCTTATCTTAGATAATCCAAGGTCCTAACTTGACCCTTAAAATCAGTATCAAAATGGTATGTTCCGTACATGAGCCAAACCAATCCCAACCCATCCCACCTCACTTCACCCCAACCCAACCCAACCCACCAAACCCCCTCCAATCCCAACCCCACCCCACCCCTCCCATCCCAACCCCACCAACCCCTCCCATCCCAACCCCACCCCTCCCAACCCATCCCAACCCCATGCCACCCAAAAATCCAAGGAAATGATAATAGATTTTAGAAAAGCTAAGTCAGCAATAAATGCTGTAAGTAATGAAATAGAAAGAGTAACTGAATACAAATATTTAAATATTTGGGTACTGTTTTAGATTCAAAACTCTCCTGGAACAAAAAAACTGAGAAAATATATAAAAAAGGACAACAATGCTTACATTTTATGTGGAAGTTGAAATATTATAAAATTAACCAAACTATCATGATGTTATTTTACAAAACCTTTATGTATTTTTTTCGGAATATTCATCATTATCTTCTTGGCGCAGGCTGCGTATGCTGACTTTTAGAACAAACAGGGTTGGCAACTCAAAAAATTAACGACAGTATTTATGATTATCCTGTGCAATCATGATATCATCTATACAACTTATAAAATGCCTCTCAAAGAAACATCAGGATGGATGGAGAGATCATTTAACATGAAAATATGGCCAAAACCGGAATAAATTTTGTTTGTGATATTGTAGATAAGAATTGAAAATTCTTACAAAAAGCTGACATTGAAAAAGAATACAGAATTGTCACAATAAACTACCTCCACCTTGAAGGCATAATAAGTTCTGTTCTGGCATATTGTAGATCTAGACATGTACTTGGTATGGGTAAGACCTACTATCAGATTCAATATCCAACACCACCATTCAACATAAGATTGTATATGAGCACAAAACAAAAGAGTAAATCATTTTATAATATGCTTTTATCACAACCAGACCGACTGGCCAAAATAAATGGGAGGATATCGTTAATAAACAATATAACAAGAGGATTGGTCAAATATTTATTTGATGGCAAACTGAGGCACAGAAAGTGTACAGTTAAGGTGGTTTCACTTCAAGATTACTCACAATATTCTAATGACCATACATAAACTATATTTGATTAAATACGATGACTCTCTGATGTGTTCTTTCTGTGAATCCACTCATGAAACAATTACACACTTATTATGTGAATGTCCTCAAACTGTGAATGTATGGAAGGAAGGCTCCAGTTGGCTTGATATTGTGTGAAGGAAATATTGACTTCTTGCATGAACATATCAGTTTTGGTTTCAAGGGTAAAAAACAATAACCCACATAATGTGTTGTATTTACTGGTGAGTTATACACCAGTATGTAAAATAAGTTTAAAAAAATATAAAGCCAAACTTTAAATTTCTTCTAAGAGAAATACTGAACTATACTCCTCACAAAAAAGTTAAGCAACACAAATGTTTAGTGTCATTACATTTTCATTTATTGAAATTGCAAAACATGGAATGATGCAATAGAAAGGTGAAACATATGTACACACGATTAACAAAATGAAATGAAATGGTATTGAGCAATAATAGACTTACAAATCACCAAAAGCATGTACCCGTGAAACAGTCATGCAAAATGTGCTGCATTGATGGAGCAAAACGTTAACAAGTCAATGTTGGACAGTGAAGCAGTGTTCAGTAACACGTATGACCACCATGAGCACAAATGCAAGCTTCTACACGTCTTTGCATTGACCAAATGAGCCTTTAAAGTTGCTGTTGTGGAATGTTCCGCCATTCTCTCTGTAACGCCTGCTCAAGGTCATCCCGACTTTGGGGGTGAACATATGGCCACCGTAACATGACTTCCAATAATGTCCCAAGCATATTCAATAGGATTAAGATCAGGTGACCTTGCAGGCCAGTCCACATGTGTGATGTTGTTGATCTAAACAACATCGTTAACAACTCTTTCTCAGGCATTATCATCCATAAAAATGGAGTTAGGATCCGCTTGTTGTACCAGAGGAATAATTACAGGTAGGTTTACACCGATCAGGGTGCATGTGTGAAGAGTGGAGCACATTCATGCCACACATTTTGCACATTGTTTCTGAGGTGGTTGTGTTTGGTTGATGTCAACGTTATCAGATAACTAAATTTGACAGTCACTAAAGGTTATGTATTCTTTGAATATTTATCTCTCAGTGACATGTCGTCAAAAATCGCTATCTAGATTGATAAAGATATTACACAGAAAATAGTTGTTGCTTAAGTTTTTGTGAGGAGTAATTATAAAGTGACAAATATACAGCATTCTTCAATACAATGCTTGAAAATGTCTATGCCTTTCGGCCTTCCTTCCATACACTCTTGACCAGTTAATTTGATCCCTGAAATATTAAGTATACTACAAACAAAAAATATGGGAACACCGTAAAATTTGATAGTCATATATAAACTTAAACGTGGTGAGGTCATTTATACTCTAAGATAAATGCAACTTTTTGTGTGCTTAATGGGCACTTTAAACGACATGTTGGAACATGCAGTGAAGCAACTGATTCAATATTCACTGAGTTTGACAGAAATGAAACTGTCAAAAACAGCAAAAAGCTAGGGTGCTGAAACACACCAGCATCATGTTTGATTCAAACTTTGCCACAAGCTGCATGGAAAGTCTGTCTTCCACACGCACTAGGCTGTTGTGTTTGGGCGTTTGAATCAAACGTAACATTTGAGGGTGTTCCCATACGTTTTGTTTGTAGTATATATGACAACTCAACTTTGAAATTACATATGAACATTTGCATCACAAATCAGCTTTCAATGTGTGATGATTGTATTAGTGCTTGTACTATGTGACTTGACGTGTGATATGCAGTTCATCCCTTTATCACAACGGAACATGTTCTGTTTTAACCAGCTTAATAAAGTCAGAAACCTAATCTTCAATTCATGTACCATGTCAAAAAATCGATTGGCTATGCTTGATGTGACGTCACAATTGCACGTGGTTCCCGCGTTTGAGGCGGT